TCACTCCAGCCTATGACGCGAGACGTTGCCCACCGACCTGATGCTCTTAATTCTTCGTCTCGCATACGCGGTCCACCACGCGGTTTTCCATCACGCGGCTCTTCAAGCGCTCCTGACGCTCACCGTTTGCCTCATAAGGAAACCATGTTACACGATAGACGAGTTCACACACCGAGAAAATACCCAGTCGAGCCGTGCTCCTTTCGCACGGGCTGATGCATCACCGTCCGGTGCACACACCGTCGACAGTCCAAACAAAACAGAACGCTCAGATGCATCGAACGTCACACGCTACCAGGCGCAAGGAGCACTCGCAGTGAACAGTGAAAAAGAAGCCCCTGAAGAGCTCCCTGTCATTTCTACGGCACCGCAGAATTGCCAAAATTCGCAGTTCAAACCTAGTAATGCCATGTCACCTGTGGTGCCCACATGCAGAGCTCAACAATTCATGAATCGAACAAATTCAGAAGTACATGATACATCAAACCTCGTACACAGTTGTCTTTCGGAAGCGTGCGTAATGAACCACGTCATCGAAGCCTCCGAAGAGCTTGCTAGCAATGATGATGCATTACCAACTATGCCCGACAAGCAAGACACCAATTCACCAAGCATCAGCTGTCGACAGAACACGTCAAACACCGAAGAAAATGAATGCCCCATTCCGGAAGGGGCACCACTACAGCCATCTCTTGAGAAGCCTCAGCAAAGCAAGCAAAGCCAAGTTCATAAACCCATGCTACAACGAGAGAAACTGCAACGAGGGCATCAACGAACGCGAAATGCAACGGAAGCGCACTCACCAATAAAAGAACATCAGAAAATAAGGTCTCTAAACCAAAGAGTGATTCAAGACGTCAGGCAATTTCGCACAAAGAAAAGTCACCAGAAACACTCCCTGCACCTGCTATTACACCGACTGCACCACCACAAAAAACGCCGAGAAAGACGCAAAAGCACTGCTTGCACACCGCAAGCACTCAGGCACTTCGCCACAGTCAGTCAAAAAGCACGAAAGCAAGAAGCACCGGAATTGCACCATTCACGACGACGTACGAGCCGCCGATGCAACAATGCGTTCCAACCTTGCTCAGTCCCCAGAACAGTTCAAGCAGTATTGTCAGTATCCATGTGTAGCCCGCTCTATCGTGTGACGCTATGATGACTGGGCGACGTGGCCTGGCTCATACCCCATGTTTATTCCGTTCTTCACTTCTTCCTTATCTACTTCTCCTAACCATCCCTGCCTTCTTACGTCACACACACACACACACACACACACACACACACACACACACACACACACACACACAAACACACACACACACACACACACACACACACACACACACACACACACACACACACACACACACATATATATATATATATATATATATATAATAAAATGGCAGAACATGTAGTTGGGCCGAAGTCAATGTTGCTCCTTCTATACTCAAATTAAATGAGTGAAACAGCACCGAGGTAAAGCGCGGCGTGCTTGAAATGTACTGCAGATAACGGACGAGTGTTTGTCCATAAAAAGGCTGGGAAATGAAGAAAAGTAAAAAATAATACTGATAAACAGTAGTCCTAAGTCAGTTATCGTAAACTATGCCGTTGTAACATCCTAAAATTAGACACCACTGCTTTAGCAGGAGACAAAAAGCTGGCAAACGCATAATTTATTCCTTTCACAGTTTATCGCTACTATAAACAAGTTTATTGTATACCAAATGTCCTACTATTTGTGGAAGAACATAACTGAGTTAAGAGATATCATAAGCCACCCTCAAAATAATAAACTTTGCGAAATGACTTTAAAAGGAGGCGAGCACATAAGAGTGGAAGCTCAATGGTGTGCTCACACACTCAATTAAGTAGATCAGGTGTGACCTGCAACTCATTCACGCTGATGTAACAAAACAGAACGCATTAAACTTTCTGGCCTTTTTCCATAATAACTTACGCTAGATGATTGTAATTTTGTTACTATAATAATTCTTATAACATTACTAAGCCTCAATATTTTTTTTTCATGTCTGTACTTGCTTCCTGAAGAAAGCACTTAAAGGTCTAGGACGTTCTTCGGTGATTGTGGTTCGCTATTGCACGTAAGCGAAGAAACAGGTAATGTGTTTTTTTACCTATGTCTTGTGTAGAAATGGTTTTTAATTACGCAAAGCTTCACTATTTATACTGCAATGCCAAAGCGCTATGTCTTGTCGACAAGAACAGAGCACAGCCCTAAATTTTTGCAGACGCTGGCATTTTCTCTGAGTATGCATTGCATTTTTTAATGAAAAGCTCGCAATATTCGTAAAATGGCTTGAGATAGTACACTGGGTCATGGGCAGCTAATTTTCAATAATTGAGCCTTTACTTAGGTAATAAAATTTTCACAATGGCATCAACGCATTTTCGGGTACACGATTGGGTAAGATGAACGCATACCCTTTAATAATGAGGCAACCAGTTAATAGATAAAATCTCTGGCGAAGAAGAGATGAAAACGTAAACGAGGCACATTTTCTATTCCGCCACATCACAAAGCAAATGCGAGTCGCACAAGCCTCAAGAAGGATTTGGGTGACAGACTACTCCAGCAACTTTTGTTTACACCCAATTTGTACTCAGTGAGGCTCAACAACAATTATCTATTAACAAGTATCATGGGTTACATCATATTTCAACACATTAGCACATCCTCAAACAATAACATGTAATTTGATACGTGAGAATCGTATCTGCGGGAGTTTGTACTTACAGAATAATAACGTGGAATCCTAGTCTCAATGTTTTATAGTTTACTATCTTACAGGTACTATACCACTTGGTTCGGCCTTTCTAAGTGTAGTAAATGTGTCTAGGCTTTCCATAGTAACTGATAAGTTATTTAGCAGTTCGCAACAATTTATACCCTATGAATTTGCAAACGAGTGAAATTATATGTCTATTCCGAACACATCAAACTGCGACGTTGCCACACTCACACCGGGCACCCTGCACAATAACACAACTACGTTACTTCGTTTCAATTTATGCGGCGCAGATGAACATTATGCAGCATCTTGCGCACCACATAAGTGTATCGGCTGTGCCAACGGAAAATCACATGGAGTGTGCAGTAATTTGCGTTTACTCGCTCGTATGACTGCATCCAGAAGATGACGCTGTTCATGATACATTTTGAGGTTTTGCGACACCATTTATTCTTGCTAGATATCTGTACCTGAAACTAAAATATTGGAAAACACTTGAACTTCCACAAAACAAAAAAAAAGTTCAGCATGCGCTTCAGCGTCAGGCTTCGCCTAACCGACGTCACAGACAAATATCAGCACAACATTTGAGCCTACCGCTGCTGGTGCTCATAGCGCGCGCGTTAATGGTGGCGTTTTTAAGCAGCTATGAACAATCAGCTCCCACGTTTGCATGTTTTCTAGACACGTGAATGCATATAAAATGTCTACCTATATTTATTGAGCAGGGCTTCATCCAATCGCCTCGTAACGTTGGAGTCGTTTTAAAAATGCCACATAGGTCACTTCGCCTCATTGATTCTCACATTATGGAAGATCTGCCGAAATAATGCATATTATTTTCATATTTCTCTATTATTTGTTCACGGGCAAGATGATTTTTTCGTTCGCAATCAACGACTCCGACGCCAGCGCTGCAATTTCAGCGAAACGAACTCTCTACCGCTATTGCGCTATAAAAAAGGCGTCTAGTTTGATAAAAACTGCGTTACGTCTGAAGGCCAGGACAACAGTTTGAAGGCGTTTGAATCAAGAAATTCATCAAATTCTTTCTTCATACAAATCATCTATATGCATCAAATAATATCAACGTAGCACTGAGATTTAAAAAATAAACAAACAAACAAACAAACAAACAAAAACACTATTTTTTAAAAGTTGTCGTTCACTTCATGTGTCCTTTAAACGTTTTCCGGCAGTATATGTAGGTGGTGTCGAAAATTCGGCAGTGAATTTCAGCACATAACTCATTTGTGGCTATTAGTTTTCAGCGGATTTTTTGTTCACCTAATTTGCTCGCATTTACAGTAACAGACACAAGAAGCTGTTTTAAAACAATAAAACGGTGTGTCTGAACAAAAGTAATACCGATATCAATAATATAAATTTGCAAATAGGCTCACATCGTACTGTCGTGTGTAAGAAATATATGTCCGCGCTAAACAGAGCTATGCTTTTGTCACATGTTAATTGCAATCTTTTGGTTATGACCATTTTTCTTTCCTTCGCCTAAACCTCCCTTTCGTTTTCAACAAGAGCATACAGTTTTCATACCCGCCCCTTTGTGTCCGAACTTAAATGTGATCAAAGATTTTAGTACCTCGGTTTCGTGTTATCGTAGCGTGCACTAAATAACCAAGGCAGAATATTTAGCTCTACAAACAATTTAGTTGCGGACATTCCTCAGTGTTTGTCGCTCGTGTACGGAACGCTTTCTGTGGATGGAATAAGCAGTATGTGTTGAGACTCATTTAGTAGGCTAATGTAATGATGATAGCATGTTGGCTTTCGCTTTTCAGTGATATAATGTTGCCTTACTCGCTTCCTAGATGTAGCGTTCCTGAAGGCTATCGTGGAGTGAACACAGGGTTTTTTTCCAACAATGTGGCAATCCATTGTTACCAAGAATACCCAGCAACTCTTCTACTGATAATTCATCGACCGCTGTGCTCAGTAGAATCGGGGCCACATTAGGTGGCTTATGTAGAGAAGCTCGCGACAAACAGGTTTTTCATAGAAGCTCTGATCGGTGGCTCATGATGGGCAATGGCTTCCGAAAAAGAAAACCTTGACCGGCCTTCGAAACGAGGGTTCACTACGTCTGTTGGAAAATGATGTCCTCAGTGGCACCATGGGGGAGTGTCACATATCGAAGCCAGTGCAGTGTTCAGAGCTTGCCCTTGTTTAAAAGTACATGAGAACGTCACATAATCACCCAAGCCCCTGTCCCATCGATGTCCGCGAGGAGCTAGCAATTATCGCCAGGCTCACAGTGGCGAATGCAGTCCTCGGCGCTTGAAAAGTCAAATTGAGCGGCCGACGGCGCTGCCAGGGTCACGCACTTCAGAGGTCATATCTTGGTCTCCTTTCGCACTTCCGTCGACGGTGTGAGCAGACCAGTGGAGCTGCCGTCTCTCTCTTGCTCGCCCAGCAGCCAGTAGGTCGTCATCTTTCCTTTGCCCTGAAAGGTGCGTATAGTTGATTATCACAATGCCATTCGTACTGGTATAGTCCAAAATTTAGAGCAAGCAATCCCGACGACTTGTCGCGCTGACGCAGTACATAACTACACTGGCTAAAGCTATTTGAAATGCTCCAAATGCTCCAATGACGTGATTTGTACTCATTGTGTCTAGCCTCTGAGCAGTGCGTCATAGGCCTTTGGGTGGAATTAAACATCTCTTTAAGATGTCCCGCGTGCAAACATGCGCTTTCAGAACCTAAGCACGTTTTCTACAACACTGATGCTTTGGATCACCGTTGCGTGCCCGAGGCGTAACACTCTCATACATCTAAGAACACGTTGAAACGCTGCTTCTTGCGTTCTCTCAACGCTACATGCGCACACTCTGACATACCCTTAGATGACCATTTTCTGGGGAAATGTTTTAACATGGAAGTGTTTTATGCCGGCGTCCACCAAGACTGCAGTAACGTACCTCCGTGAAGAAAATGACCTCTAAAATAACACGACCCGAAGATGGATGAATGGATGGATGAAAAACTTTTATTGGGGTCCTGAAGGATTCCACCCCCGTTTCATAGGGGTAGGATCGCGGGCCGCTCCCACGTAGGGACGGGGAGGCCCAGCCTCACCGCCGCATCGTGGGCCTTCTGGACAGCCTTGAGTTGTTGTATGAGAACCGGACTCGTGAGCATTAAATGAAAGGAGTTCTCAGAAAATTCTTCATTTTTTCTTTGTAAAGAGGGGCACCTCCAGAGCATGTGGTTAAAATCACTGCGATTCTGGCAGTCTGGACAAAGTTCTGAAATATCGGAGTAAAGACAAAAAAAAATGGCAGATCCCACATACCTGGGAATCAACGTTATGCGAAGCATGCGGAGGGAAGGGGACCGTGTTGCATTTCTTTTATTGAGCGACACGTCATGAAATGATGCTAAATATAAGTAAAAGTGTTGCAGATGTTTATATAACCAGTTGTTTGCACTTGCGCAACGATGCCTACTGGCACATGTGTATTAGCAACACCAGAAGCTGATACTAAGCGCTGATGCTCGCGAAGATTCTGGCCCTGGACACTGCTACACAAAGCAACTTTAGCGCATGGTAACTAACCACAATTGACGTTAACCTGACGTGACGGTTGTATCAAAGGACTGCATATGCAATGTTCATGAAATTGGGCAGGGAGCACTGCAACCCCTATTGACGCTACACGAATATTTGCGTCTATACGAAAAATAGTTCCGAGACCTGGCGTAGCTTTGTGGTAGAATGCTTGACTGCCACGTTGAATGCTTGGGTTCGATTCCAACTGGAACCTTGAAATTTATTATTTGCATTCGTTGGGGCATCAACGCTGCCTATGTCAGGTTTTTGTTAACATAGACATTTATTCTATGCTTTCGTTGGGTCGACGCTACCGATGTTGGGTATTGCTTAACGCTCATGCGTTAAAACTGCCCATGTGTGTTCTCGTCGTTCCTGAATAGATCACCTGTGTAAATCACCTGTGGCACATATCAACATACAAGTGGCACATACACGCCCGTGGGTATATGCCACTATCTGGCGGGAAGTGTTTGACGACGTACACGATGGGATTCTGAGATTATTCATGTCTTGACCAGCACGTTATATTCGTCAAGCCATCTTACCCTCCTATGCTCATTTTGGTTCACGCCATGTTAATGGGGTGACCACGAAAGCACCCAAACGTAAGCGGCTAGATAGACAAGCTCACAGTCGCCGAAGTTCGTCAAGAAATGCTTCGCATTTAAAAGTTATGTCATCCAACTTACAATCTCTCGTTCAGCGACAACAGCTGCCGAACATGCTATCCACTGCGTCACAGTCACATACTTTGTAAGAAGAAAAGAAAACACGTCTTCTATAATTACCACTGCCCTCTCACAATACTCTTGGTAAAGTGTAATAATGCATTGTCACCGCGATCCGTGGAATCCACGATTCCTTACTTCAATGCGCAGTTTCTATGCGTTCAACTTATTGAGTGCGTCTCCAATACCAGAAGTGTAATTCTGTCAAAAGCTTAACGCACTGCCAGGTGGCGATCCTACCCAAATCATCGGCGTGGCCCATAGTATCCATTCATACCTATAAAATTAGGATGACTGTCAGTTCCCGCGGCCGCGTTTACGAAGGGTGTGCGCTGCTCAAGCCCTATAACTGCATTCACGCGATCTCCTCGCGACAGCGACAAACGACAGCGACGAGCGACAAGATTTTCTGTCGTGGAAGCTCGTTCGCCGCAGCTTGTCACGTCGTGTGGTTCTAGAAAACTAAAAAGGATCGCTTGTCGCCCGGATGCCAGCGAGGCAGTTTTCGACAACATGGCTGCGCCTATGGTCCCGCGTCAGTTGCAATTTGCTTTCGAGATGATATGTGGGGTTTAACGTCCGAAAACCCCCTGGTGGTTATGAGAGACGTCGTAGTAGAGGGGTCTGGAAATTCTTTAACGTGCACCCGAATTTGAGTACGCGGACCTATACAGTACTTTCGCCTCGATCGAAAATGCAGCCCAGCCGGAGCCACTCGACACTTGTTATGCGCGCGTACTTCAAGGGATGCAAGGCATCGACTACCTTATTTACATTCTCATCGTCAGCTTGTGACGATTTGTTCGCCTGCTACAATGCGAAAGCGTCGTGCGAAGTGCGTCGTAGCCGCCGTATAGCGTACGCTTCTAAGCAGCTTGTCGTGGTTAAACTCAAGATTGCGAAAAAAAAAGAGAAGGTCGTGAAATGCGCTTGTGGCTCCCTTATGCCACACAAGACCGTAATAAATTTGGCACGTTGTCTTCAACCAACTTTTAAACCTGTGTTCACTATTTATGGGTATGCACGCGATAGTTTTCATTCAAGCAATAATGACACTTTGTCGCCGACATGCGGTTGCAGCCGTCGCGACGTGACAGTGCGACCGAGCAAGTTTGTCGCTGCCACTTGTCGCTGTCGCTAGGAAATCGCGTGCATGCGGTTAGGGCTTTACTCAGAAAGTCAGATTTGAACGTTTCTAGGTACTCCTCTTGCGTATACTTGTGCGTTTGTCCTGTGAGTATTTCTGTTTTGAGCAGCGTGATTCAAGCGTCGAGATGTGACAGTTGTTTGTCCGCACTCGGTCATTCTTTACACGTTCATTTAGTGTGTGCTGTCTGCTTGAGCTGTGCGCTGCGAGTTTCGAGCTGCTTGCCGTTTTTCGCCTGACATTGCAATTTGTTACTGCAGCATTCATTCCTTCTTACGTATGGCGAAACAATGCACAGTGAATGCGCGAGTACACGTTTCGCTTTCGTGTTATAACGATTCCTTAAAAGGGGGATCAACCACGTTTTTTCATTTGTGAATGCTATGAGCGAAGCAGACGACAGGGGTAATTTCCCCACCTGGGGTTCTTTTAATTCCTCGGTAAAATTCCACTTCTACTACTGAAAACGCACCGGAGAGGACGAACGCGTAGAAACGACCGGTTGAAGGTGCTAATTGTGGATCTCACGATTATGATGCATCACTTCACTTTGCCGAGAGCATTCTGAAATGACAGTTTTGCAGCAAAGTCGAAGCAATGAATGCGATAGCAACCACTTGGAATGCAACGCTCGAAATCGCTCAGATCGAAATCACTCAGATCGAAATCGCTCAGATCGAACGCTCAGATCGAAACGTGCAGCGCGCTGCTCACGCGCACTGACGCACGAAAACAACGTGCACAAGATGAGAGCTAACAAACAACGTATACAGCTCGACGCTTAACCCGCTGTTTAAACAAAAATTACGCGCGAAACGTAAGTACAGGTACAGTGAGGGATATGTAATCGCGGCGTTTCGTGGCGTGGCGAATCATTTTCGGTTCGATCCTCTTGAACTGAGGAGTGATTCTCAAACCGACCGCCACACCGAGCGCTGACGAGGACACGCACGCCTGTGCCACGCTGGCTTGTAAAACATATGAACGCTGCGTGCATGTTGTTGTTCGCGATGACCATAGCTTCAAATATTCACAATCTCGCTCACAACCTCACGACAAAACACCACGAGCGGCACAACGAAAACGCTGTATATTCATGTACAGTCGTCAGCAAACTTAACACGACCGCTCCACAGCATCTCTTTAAACAGTTTGTTTGACGGTAGCGCCGCGTAGCTTTGGACTCTGCGTCCGAGACGCTACTCATACATGCCAACATACTGTACAAACATACCGAGGTATTACCTTTGCGACAGCGCCTAGTGCTTCGCGGCTGGCGTCAGTAAAAGTAGTCCTGCTCATGCGTTGGAGCGTTGGTGTTAAGCTTACTGACGACTGTACGCGCTGCATAAACCAAGCAAAACAAAGCAAGTTAAGTCGTTGCTAGGCAGCCAATACCGCCAGTCGGTACTACTTGTAGACGCAGCGATGAAAACACTATTATAGCCGACGACATCGCTGCTCGCTCATCGTCACTCGATGTCTGACGCGTGGCCTGTAACCTTGTCGAGCACGTCAAAATACTGTCGATGTCTCATGGCCTGCAACGCGCCGTTGAGCCTTTGACGGTCTTTGCGCTCAAAATAAAATAACTTTTACGTTATGAAAGTGGTTCATACTTCGAAAAAGAAACGGAAGCATACCTATCCATCTAATATACGTCACATGCTAAGGCTGATATATAACGTGGCTTTCTATCATCCTTCAGCATCGCTTTTCCATAGGCATCATATTCTACGTATTCCGTCTCTGCATTCTTACCGCCTCTTTATAGCATACAAATCATAAATTAAAGATAACGACCATTTCCTAGCTCAATTAGCCTGTTTAGAAAGGGGGATGCAAACATATTCAGTGCGCCGTCCAGAGACTTGGAAAGTAACGTTATGTCGAACAAATTACGGGACAAAAATGCTAAAATACAAGCTTCCGGAATTACTAAACTTGTTTAGCAATTAAAACATTGCACCGGAGGGATCATCCACAAAAACTCTGCGCACTTAAAAAAATTGACGGTTACTTGTATTCATAGTTTTAAAATTGTTTTTCCCTTGATATTCCTATGCTAGATTTCGACACAATTTATTGTTTTTTAAGAAAAATTGTTTTTTAAATTCTAACGCATACGTTTTCTCGTTTACTGCTTATACATTTCAACACTGGTTTCTCTAGTTGGAATGTTTTTTTTTCCTTTTTATGTGATACGAAATGTTGCACTGTGTGATTACGTGATGTTTTCAATGAAATTGCATTGTATTATTTCTAAAATTTATTTTCTTGGTTTTCTCCTTGCCCTATATACGTACACTGTTTTATTAGCATATCACCCAGTCTTTTTGATTGTCATTTTTGGTTTTCCTTTTGCGTTCAGCACAGCCTGCTGTAAATGCGCCGAAGTGTACATGTTTTGGGGGGTCGGAGCTAGTCAAGCTGCTCGTCAGCTTTTTCTCCCTGCTTCCCTCATCCTACGCTTGATGAAAAATAAAGGAGATATTATTATTATCTCGAGTTTGAAGCTTGGTGTCACTGCTCCTTTAAAATGTGCGCGCCTCGGACTCGTATTTAGTATAGCGAACTAGAATATACATTACCTAGGCTGTGCTGCCAAAGTACGAAGTTGTCGCGAAGTATAATCTGCCTACATTTCGCATGCGTTCGTGTTCTCGCGCATCGAGCCGTCACTTCCCCACCCCCTTACAACAAATATAATTCTCTACAACGTTCCCGCGCTTATCCGCATTTATCCTATAGCGCCTAACTCAATTTTTACGTGGCGCTACCGCTAATCACCCATCCGCTCAAATGTTGCAGCTTTCATGCCCAGTAACAGGTTCAAAGAAAAGTGATCGGCGAGGATACCGAGCGGAGAGCAACACCACTGGCTTCTCGGGGGCTCGAGAGAGCCTATATGAGCAGCCCTGTTTCGTCACGTAGGCCATAGAGTTTCCTAAATATACACTAGAGGGAACTCTGGCGCTAGTGTCTATAGGAGCTGCAACGCACGGCGCTTCAGCGAGCATCGGAATGATGGGTAGTACACGGATTTGTCTAATCTTCGTACTTCTGGCTCCGTGTGTGTTCATGTGGCTTGGAACTGTTTTCTCACCAAACAAAAATCAGCAAATGTTCAGCGGTGTGCTACACCGTCTTATTTTTTGAAGCTTACTATTTTAAATCAGGTCACAAAATTCAAAGGGGTTCGTTCTTTCCTTCGAAGCAAAACTAAAACACAGCATTAAACGAAGCCACAAGTATGATTCGCCGCCCGCAAGTACGAGGACTAGACAAATCCGTGTACTAGCCATCTGTTATGTAGTAACTTTTAAACGTGACTATAGCAGACGACAGCACTGCATCACCTAGAAGATGACGATAACGAAGGGGCATTGAAGCTCGCCCATTGAATAAAGAAAAGTAGGCACTCGCGCAGAATGGAGCTGTTGGGACGCCGACACACACACACACACAGAGAGAGAGATTGACTTTATTTAAACATATCCTAAGGAGGCTGACAAAGGGCTATTCCGACCCTTAATTCAACCTGGAGGCTCCGCCCAGGATGGCGCTGGCAGCCGAAGGCTTGTAGCGATGTCCCGGACCATCTGGACAGCCTGTAGTTGCTGCTTGTATTCGTTGCTCTTGAGGGCTTCCTGCCAAGCCTCTTTGGGTATTCAGTTGTGCTGCGCTATGGGTAGGGCACAGCCAAATCATATGTTCGAAATAGCAATATGGATGGTTGCAAAGGGCGCATGTGGGTGGTGTGTCGGGGTCGACTTTGTGTAAGGTGAATGGTGTTAGGTACGTACGTGTTTGAAGTCTTAGAGTTAGGGCTTGTGCTTTCTTAAGTTTTGGATGCGGTGCTAGGAAGGCACGTCTTTGTCCCCGGTAATGTGAAGTGATCTCGTGGCTATGTGAGTGCATTGACCTGGCTGCAGAGATTCTCGTACCGCTCACTCATCGAGGGTAGTTGTCCGCGGCGCGGTGTGTGAGCTCACGCGCCAGGCGGTTGACCTCATCGTTGGGATTGCAGTGATCGAGTCCCGGTAACTGACCCATGTGGGCTGGGAACCAGGATACGTACATTTGAGCTTTCTCTTCCTAATAAGGGTTTCTTTGCTCTCGTAATCTCTTATTGCGTTGATGGCGAGTTTTCTAGTGCTTGTAGCTACTAGGCCCGCCGCGAACGTTCGCGCCGCAGTCTTAGAGTCTGTGTATATTGTGGAGTAGATTTGGAAGCTCTGCAAAGCTAGCGCGATCGCCATTTACTCTGCTTCGTGGACATGGCTTGTTTGGACGGTTGCCGCGTTTATGAGGTTTCCGTGGATATCCACGACCGCTATGGCAAACGCCTGCCTGCCGTAGTAGCGGGCGGCATCTACGAATAGCGTGTGCGTGTTGTGTTTTTTTTATGCCTTGTTTATGAACGCCCTCGCTCTTTCCGTCCTTCGCCCTTTGTTGAACGTTGGATGAACGTTGCGGGGGATTGGCTCAACCCTAATGTGTTTCCTCACGTCATTACCAAGTTGGATTCTTTTCTCTGGTTTAAAAATTGGGCAAATGCCTGCGTCTCGTAGGATGAGATGGCCTGCCTGCGTCAACGACAGGCGTGTGATCTGTGCCACTCTCTGAGCCTCAAAAATTTCTTCGGCTGTGTTGTGCAGACCGAGTTGCTCGAGTTTCTCGTTGTTCGTGCTATTGGGCAAGCGGAGTGCCGTTTTCAGTCCCTTGCGGAGCATGGAGTCGACCTTTTTTATTTCAGCTTTCGCAAGTTTTAGAAACGGGAACGCGTATGCTACGTGACTAACGAGAAAGGCGTGATACACCTTCATGATGTTGTTTTCTAGGAGGCCTGCTCTCTTGTTGGCGATTCTGGCAATGCCCCCTGCAAAATTGTTCGTGCTTTTTTCAAGGCGCTTGAGTGCTTCCTTGTTGTGGCCCTCCTTGGCGCTTAACGTTAGCCCCAGTACCTTAACCGTATATACTTGTGGTATCGTTTGGTTGTTCTCAGCTTTGAGCAATACTTGCTGCTCCTCTTCGTCCGGGTTATTATGTATACTTGCTGCTCCTCTTCGTCCGGGCTCATTATGTATAGAATGTGGAAACGTCTTTTGCATTCGCGATCTCCGGTGGGTTGATTGCCATTGCAAACCTTGCATTTCGGCTCTCAGTGATACACGCCGTCTTTTTGTAGCGTTTCACGGCAGTTGTGACATTTCTTGCTCGTCGCGTTTGTGTGCCGGCAAACATCGGCGCGATGGCTGACTCCTCCGCACGTTCTGCAAACATCGACTTGTCGCTTGTAGAGCGAGCAGGGAACCATGGCGGTTCCGCACATCACTGTGCTCGGAACGCGCAACCCGTCGAAGAGGATTGCAACAAATTTGGTCTTTTTAATGGGTCTTGCCTCGATGGCAGTGATATTTCGGTCGTGCACAATCAGGCGTTTGAGCGTTGCGTTGTCAAGGGAGAGGTCAACGTTCTTGATGACGCCCTTGCAGGTATTATCAGGTGCGGCAACGTATGCGGCAACTTTGAACGAGCCTTGGTTTGTGTGCAGTTTCTGCACGTTCACGTATGATGTAGCATTATTTTGGTGTGGCGTAGAAATAACGATCATGATGATAACGTGAAATAACGATGGTGTGAAAAACGTGCGTGGATAAACTCTATGCAACACAATAGAGGGCGATCATTTGCATTATTTACATCACTAAACAAAAAGAAAAAAAATATTGTTCTGGAAGTTTCAAATAAAACATCAATCTATTTGAAATAGCTGCTGTAGATTGCACAATAGAGTAACTTGCCTCAATGAGCATAGCTCCATTGTAGGATTTAACGTACAACTTTTGAAGGTAATTTTTGAAGGTTATTAGTTTTTGTATGACCGCTTCGGTTTCATTGTCCATCTGTCGTGTAGCACAAACAAAACGAAACTACTCAGAATACCTATGACTCACGGTTATGTGATAGTACGGCGCGTATCGCTCAGTCTGTGGATTCTGTGCGTGCAGCAGTCCGAACCACAAGCGTAGATGATTTTTTTTAGAAAGAGGGGGGATACCTTTTAGAAATAGTGATTTTCACTGTGTATGTCATGACGAGAAAGAAACTGAGGGGGGGGGGGGGGGCACTGGCCCAATGTGACACTTCCTTTCTACGTCACTGATAAAAAGCTTATTCTTGAACGTAGAATTAGGTCACTTTTCAAAATGCCGATAAACGTAAAATGAAGCAGCACAATAAAGCAGTTTTAAAGTCATTCTAATGTGTGCTCAGAATGCACTAAAACTCCTAAAAATAGCATGGGAAATCCGCCCTTCAAAAAGTGAGATGGATTAAACTGATCTTCAAAGGAATATGCCATGCTTACCTTCATTTCAACTTCGCCTCGTAACTCCAGTTGAAAAGTTTTGAATGTATCTAAGACTTCTTTTGTTGATACACTCACGTGGATTTTAAGCGCTGAAAGAAAAAGAACAATACTTGTTCAAGTACACTGTCGATATTTTACTCAACTTTTGTAATGGCACCATGTTAATATATAAATACAAATGCTCGGTATGCTGCTACATAAGCTAACTCGTCAAAGAACTGTGTGTTCACTTCACTAGCATAGAATAACGCAAAAACTCCCGAATACCACGAGCCGTGCGTATCAATGATGTACGAAGCATGCATAAAGGAGTTCGCTATGTAGTATTTTAAAGTGAGTACAATCTTAGAAGGCTGGACTCTGCAAACACGTGTGGAAACTTTATACGCTTTCATGTATCTAGAAAACATGCAAACGCGAGAAACCGTTGTTCATAGTTGCGTAACGACGCCACCACTAACGTGCGCACGACACGCACCTTATAGTGGTGCGCTGAAATGATTGTTCTTCTAATTGTACGTGACGTTGGTTTCGCGAAGTGTAATCATATGCAGGTTTTCTGGACACATAACAGCGCTTCTCGCGTTCCCGGCTCGAAGCTAGCGCGTTTTCAATGGAACCAGTGAGTTTTTCACAAAAAATTATTTGTAGAGGGAGAATGTTGAAAAACGCAGACAACAGAGCGCGTCTGGGAACCTAAGCGAACGAGAAGGCGGCAGTGATTATGTTGGGGTAAGCTTCAATTTTGTTCCCAGAGCAGTTAAAGATCGTACAATGGGAGTCAATGGAAACGGCAAAAATTGGCCTGTTTTTCGAGACAAAAACATTCACTGCAGTAAAACTAGGCAGGTTCTTTTACTGGTCAGTGCACCGTAAGTAGTCCTGACAACCAGCTTTTGATTGAAGTCATTCTCGACGTGGCGCAATTGACATAACATTCTTCCCTAAAGCGTTTTTTCCGAAGCAGTCCTTCGAATGCTTGTGGCATACTGATAAACTCTTATTTATCGCCAGCTGCTCAGTGGAATTTGTGACCGAGTGCTCTAATCGTATAGCAAGAGGGGGGGGGGGGGGTGAAACATAAGCGCGCCGTCAGATGTCGCTATCAAAACAAACCAAGCAAGTTTCTGTTTCAGTTTCAATTTGTCATTGTGATCTTGAGGAGTCTTGTTTTTCTTCATTTTAATTACTTTCTACTGCACTTTTAAATGCTTCACGCATATCACAGTCTTAAGAAGTACATTTGTAATTCTTACTTTGTTCTTTTACACGTCCTAAAGGAAAACAACCCTCGATCAAGTTAGGTGAACAAAGCTCTTTTTTTTTTTGTAGGCGCATTGTAATGTAAAATTAGGTGAACGAAGCTACGTCGTTTTTTCGCACGCGTATTATTGTGTAAACTTCCTTTCCATTTTCGTGATTTCGTTATGCTTTTCTCAGGTCCCTACAATTCACCAATGTTAAGAACACGAACTAAGAGTAGAGAAGCAAGCATACTATATGTGAAATTATACGTTTTGCCATTGCTTTTTGAATGCAAAACGCTTCTTTGCGTAGTATCTATCTATCTATCTATCTATCTATCTATCTATCTATCTATCTATCTATCTATCTATCTATCTATCTATCTATCTATCTATCTATCTATCTATCTATCTATCTATCTATCTATCTATCTATCTATCTATCTATCTATCTATCTATCTATCTATCTATCTATCTATCTATCTATCTGTCTGTCTGTCTGTCTGTCTGTCTGTCTGTCTGTCTGTCTGTCTGTCTGTCTGTCTGTCTGTCTGTCTGTCTGTCTGTCTGTCTGTCTGTCTGTCTGTCTGTCTGTCTGTCTGTCTAGCGACCTACGTGTGTATATATCGCCGTGTATTCCATACTAATATTTGTCTTCTAGACTAAGAGGCGATATACGTAGTATATATCGCCGTTTATCATATACCGCGGCTACTCGTGGAATCACGAGTAGCCACTGACGTCCACCGGGTGCGTAGTTGCGTTGGTACAGCACGTCGTCGCGAGTGGCGAAGTGCTCGACTTGCCGACGCAACGTGCGAGAAGGGGGGGAAGCCGTCCGCCCAGCCAGGATGTCTAGAATCGAAGCAACCCAAGGGTCCTTGCGTTGCTCAGATGGCATGTCGGCGATGGTGACGGCAGTGGAATCACAGGTTAGACTTTCGCAGCAGTCCGGGCCAGGGGGTAGAGGCGAACGGGATAGGGCGTCTGCGTCCGAATGTTTCCGGCCGGAGCGATAGACCACGCGAATATTATATTCTTGGAGGCGTAATGCCCATCGGGCGAGGTGACCGCTTGGATCCTTCATTGACGACAACCAGCAGAGGGCGTGGTGGTCAGTCACAAAGTCAAAAGGTCGCCCGTACACGTAAGGTCGAAAGTTCTCTATCGCCCAAATAATGCCGAGGCATTCCTTTTTAGTGACGGAATAGTTGATTTCGGCTTTGCTAAGAGTTCTGCTTGCGTAGGCAACCACGTACTCTTGAAAACCGTCTTACTTCTGTGTGAAAATAGCGCCTAGCCCGACACCACTAGCGCCGGTGTGGATCTCTGTGGGTGCCGATGGGTTGTAGTGTCGCAGAATAGGTGGCGACGGGAGGAGGCGGCGCAGTTCATTGAAAGAATTGTCACAGGTGGCAGACCAGGCTTAAAGGTCTCTAGAGCCGGCAAGGAGCTTGGTCAAAGGAGCGATGATCGTCGCGAAATTGTGGACGAAGCGCCGGAAGTAAGAACAAAGGCCTATGAAGCTTCGGAGCTCTTTCATGGTGGTCGGTTTCGGAAACGCTGAAACGGCTGTAAGTTTGGCAGGGTCAGGAAGAATTCTGTCTTTTGAAACCACGTGGTCAAGGATCGTAAGCTTTCGAGCGGCGAAATGGCACTTCTTCAGATTCAGTTGCAGCCCCGCGGCAGAAATACACGCGAGGACTTTCTCGAGGCGGCTTAAATGGGTTGCGAAATCAGTTGAAAAGACGACAATGTCATCTAATTAACAAAGGTAAACGTTCCATTTGAGGCCTCGAAGGATAGAGTCCATCATCCGCTTGATAGTAGCTGGCGTGTAGCAGAGACCGAAGGGCATGGCTGTGAATTCGTAAAGCCCGTCGGGCGTGATGAAAGCTGTTTTTTCGCGATCAGCCTCTGCCATGGGTACCTGCCAGTATCCAGAGCGCAGATCTAAAGAAGAGAAAAATTCGGCTCCCTGTAGGCAGTCCAAGGCATCGTCAATGCGTGGAAGCGGATAGACATCCTTGCGCGTGATTCGGTTGAGACGTCGGTAGTCGACGCAAAACCTGATGGATCCGTCTTTCTTCTTCACCAACACAACTGGAGAGGCCCAGGGACTGCTTGACGGTTCGATTATGCCACGTGTCAGCATGTCGTCAACCTGTTCATTGATGGCACGGCGTTCGGTAGTTGACACACGATATGGACGCTGCCGTAATGGCGTCTCTTGACCGGTATCTATACGGTGAACAACAGATGACGCTCGACCTAAGGAAGGCTGATTGTGGTCAAACGAGGCTCGAAAACGCTGAAGGAGCTTGATCAGCTGTTCCTGCTGCCCAGGCGTGAGGTTGCAATCAATGGACTTGCGGAATACATCCATACGTTCATTAGCGTCAGTTGCGGGTGTAATGGCACAAGTCGGTAAAAATGGCTTGTCTGGATATATCGGTTGGTTGATTGATTGATTGATTGATTTGTGGGGTTTAACGTCCCAAAATCACCATATGATTATGAGAGACGCCGTAGTGGAGGGCTCCGGAAATTTCGACCACCTGGGGTTTTTTAACGTGCACCCAAATCTGAGTACATGGGCCTACAACATTTCCGCCTCCATCGGAAATACAGCCGCCGCTGCCGGGATTTGAACCCGCGACCTGCGGGTCAGCAGCCGAGTACCTTAGCCACCACGGCGGGGCTGTCTGAATATATCGGGTCTTCGAAAATACAATTTAAGGTCTCGAGGCTTCCCAGACACTCGCCGCGTAGCAGGGTGTACGGACAAGCATAAACGTTGCACGCAGAAAGTACCGCCGAACCATTGGAAAAGTTGATGACGGCAAACGAGAAGACGATGGTTCGGTGTTGCACACTAGCTATAGTTGGTTGGAACAGGAGCGTCGAGTTAGTTGCAGCAGGGGAAAACACAGGCACTAGGACGGCGGACAACAGCGCGAAGCGGACGTCAGATGCGGCAAACACTTTCGAGGGACTGTGGTGGTCTCAGGGTGTCTCAGGGTGTCTCGGGGTCTCTGCGTAGCGAGAAGCCTTGTTGACCTTCGTGATGATCACTGCGACGTTTTTGTCACAAACTTCAGCTACGGGCACCGGCGCCTTTTCCCTGGAAGTGTCATCGGCTACGCCGACCCAGACGCCAATGTCACTGAGTGTTTTGCTTCCGAGGCCATCGGCACTGCTGAAGCGCCTTTCGGCAGCGTCGACATCAATCCAACGCTTTCTGAAGCGAACAAGCAGCGTTTGAGCAATCTGTTGCTGGGATTTCACACATGCTTTGCCCGTTCTTCAAAGATACGTCAAAGATCGATAACGGAACACCGTATTATCACCTACGACGATGCGCATTCCGTACGTCAGCAGCCTTACTGTGTTTCGCCAACCGAACGGCTCGCGATTCAAGCGCAGGTTAAGGAAATGCTTCAGGATGGCGTGATACAGCCTTCAAGCAGCCCTTGGTCATCACCAGTCATGCTTGTGAAAACGAAAGATGGCACGCTTTGCTTTTGTGTAGACTACAGGAAGTTGAACAATGTCACAAAGAAAGACGTGTACTCGATGCCCAGAGTCGATGATTCTCTTGGCAGGCTGTGGCGCGCGAAGTATTTTTCGTCCGTCGACTTGAAGAGTGGTTATCGGCAAAAAGAGGTCGACGAACGTGACCGGGAAAAGACCGCTTTTGTAACTTCAGATGGCCTTATGAATTCAAAGTGCTCCTTTTCGGCCTCTGTTCCGCTCCAATGCTATTCCAGCGAATGATGGACACCATCCTGGCAGACCTCAAGTCGGAAAGCTGTCTCGTCTACCTCGATGATGTCGTTGTGTT